GTAATGTAAAATGATTTCTATATTTTGCATTTCATATATACATACGCAAATTCAGTGATCACAAACACTGAAAAGACAAACAAATTAAAATTATTTTGATCCATAAAAAAATAGTAGAAAAGAGTCATTGTCCATAACTTTAGTTATATATGAGTTTTAATGTCAAAATAAAAAATAGGAATACACAAAAAGAACTATAAAAGAATCACAATTACAATATTGGAAAACATTGTAATTTACAAATAACTTAAAAGAGGACAGACAAAGAGAATAAATCCTACTGGATACTAGTTTGGTCGATACATTGCATCATCCTTAGTTGTACTCACATACACTAAAACAAGTAGTTGCAGTGGTTGGTGTAGGTATACCACCGTCAACAACAAAGTTCGACGACGTCTCTCATAAGAAAAGAAACTATCACAAACCATTATGATACTGCCAAGTGGAGATATGACAGAGAAGATGAGACTCAAAGCCAGCTATTAAAGAAAATACATACAACTTAAAAAGAAAAATGTCAGCTTGGTATTTTGGTAATGATGGACCAACCAAATAAATTAAGACTTTTAATCATTTTTAGGTAAAGATAGGATACATATTATTAAGAGTACCAAAACCAGCTAGGTTTGTGTTATTGTTAATCCATAATTTAATCATGTGATAAGATACTCTTGACGAGTCCATGTCACCAAAACTAGGTACATACTTCTATTCTTAAGGTTTAATTAACTAATATGTTCAGTTTATGGTGAGATTTTGAAGGTTTTTTGTTATAAAATCAATTTAAATTTATGTATTTTGAGTCTAATCGAGAAAGAAAAAATTAAAAAATATGTCTATTCAGAAGAATCATCGATGTTCTACTATTAAGAATTCTTCGTATAATCTATATCTAATTTTTTCAAAATTTATCTTTAACACAAATTAACACTTGTAAAATATATATCTATGAAAAATAATAATATAATTAAAATAAAGATTAACATTAATTAAAGCTTGTAAAGATGAAACCATTCCTAGCACTATAATTTAAATGTAGATTTATTTTTAAAAAGGATAGTTTTTTTCAATTACAAGACTCCAACATTCACTTAAACTAAAATTTAATATAATATTACAATTGAATTAATCATAATTGTAACGGTGAATAAAAAGTCTACAAAAGTTTTTGTCTATAGATTTTTATTATCTTCCACTTATTTTCTAGTATTTTATTTTTATTTTATTTTTGCGATATATATCATTTTATCCTATAATTTATTCATGTATTGTTTTTACCATACGAACAATTCTAATTTGATTGTTTCAATTATTTTAAGATGACAAAAATATTCAACTGATTTACACATTATCAAATTTAGGTTTATGAGTTTTGACTATTTCATATATATATATGCAACTTTTTGGACATTACTGTAGAGGTTAATTTTGGGCATTTTTGTGATTGTTTTCTATTTTCTAATCGATATGATGATTTTTTTCATAATTCTTAACAGCCAGCCATATACTTGAAAATTGAAATAATCATATTAGAACATTGAAACAATCATATTATAATTGCTCGTATGATAAAAATAATATTTATCCACCATTTGTCATGTTATCTGTGTGTAAGGCTCTTCTTTTATTTACATACTTTTAATGAACTAAAATTGCTAAAGTGATACTGTGTTTTGGAACAAAATACTTGCATTAGCAAACCGATTTCTAAAGTCATATTTGTTATATAGTCATTACCATCCTTCGTCATGAGTTCTCCACATATACCATTATCAATAAAGTCATTTACTCATTTTTGTAATTAGTGGATATGATACCTTAAAAGTCATTAGTTTTGTGTAAACATTTTAAAACAAACAAACGAGAACAAATCTTCAAGTTACAGTTTGTTACTCCTATAAAAGTTTTCAAATTTCATCCAAAATTTTGAACTAAAGCTAACAAGTTTATATTATTTTTTATTGTAGTTTCACGATTATAGTATTATACATATTAGTTTGTTCAAAAAAGTATTATACATATAAAACATTATACTAAAATTCAGTTAATTTATGCATTTATCATATTTAGGTTATGATTTTGACTATTTCAAATATGTGTGCAATTTTGAGGACTTTTTGTGCATTTGTTATGAAAACTTTAAGCATATTTGTGCTTGTTTGTCTTTATCCCATAGTATAAAATATAAATGCATACCACCAAATCAATAAGATGTTTTCTAAATATTAACAATTGGATAATTATACGATATAGTTTACAACTTCATTTTTTGCAAGGATTAGTAAACTAATATGAGTATTAATATTTGTGTTTTTCAAGCGCGTCGTTTACGGAAGCAGAACGAGTTAGCACAATTTGTAGATCTACGGCAATAAAGCTAGGACAACTACCTGTAAAAGTTGAGAAGCGGCCGCATATGGCGATGCTTGGAGATGTGGAGTAAGCCTCAAATTTGTTAAGGGTAATTGCAGAGATTGACGGGAGTTCGTCTCATAGAAGACAAAGTTTGATTTACATAAGATTATAAAAATTCAAGAAAGTCGGTAGTCTCTTTCTAGAAAGGGAAAATAGAACCTCTCATGTGTTTTATTTGACATCAAAGGTGAATAAAGTAGAACTGGAGAAGAGAGAGAACGAAGATAAAAATGAAGTTGAAACTTTACAAGTCCACTAATTTTCAATCTATATTAACATTTTAAATCATTTTTGAAATAATTCATGGACTTTGAAACTATGAATTTACAAAAAATGTTAGTGACATTTTTAATTTATTTAAAAATTTGGTAACCAATAATAATCATATTTAACAAATTTCCTAAAATCTTTCTCCTAATGAATACAAAATAACATTTTCTTATTTTTTATGATAAAAAAAAACTACCATCTTTTTTTAAAAAAAATTAATGGTTATTATCCCTAATTGAAAGAATATTTTTTCCCAAATGTATAATAGAAATACAATTTTTTTTGCATATCAACAATTTGATTTTTTGGAACCGGACAGATAATGCAAAAACAAAATCGCATATGTAAAACATCCCACATCGGGTATAATTTTCTTGACAATGGTTAATAACCTTTATAAATATGACTATATGTTTCCAACTACGAATGAGTAGGAAGTTTGATTTCTTAGGCGTCCAAATTTAAAAATAAATTATTCAGTTTAATTCGTTTTTTATTTGAGCAAACTAAAACTTTAAAAATTTTCAAAATATTATAATAATTATAATTTTTAACTTTAAAAGTTAATATTTATAAATATTTAAACTTTGAAAGTTAAAAAAATAATAAATATTTAAGCTCTATAAAATGTTTAAAATATTCTAAATATATAAACTCTATAAAAGTTTAAAATATTATTAAGTTTTAAAATATTATGAATATTTGGAAACTTTTAAAAGTTTAAGTGCTATTAATATTTTAACTCTACAACAAGTTTAAACTAAAGTATTATTGACCTTACAATATCTTTAAACATGACTTTAATTTTTTGGCGATTATATGATAGGGAGGGTTGTAAGACATGAATAATTGTAATAAGTTTCCAATGGATTATATAACGGGACGGATTGTAAGACAAAACTGGTTTGAATTGATATTACTAACAAATTAAAATATCATTAATCTCATATTTCAATAGATTTTACTAATTTTTAAAATAACATCAATATAAGATATGTACAATCAAACTGATTTAGTAAATTTATTTATTAGAGATGCCATTTTAATATTTATTAAATAAACTCCAACACAAATTTGTGAATTATAAGAAAATGTTTTCCATGAATCTTACTTTGTCACAAAGAGAAGCAATAATGTTTATATATTTTCACGAGGTTCAACTGTTGGGTGTAACTTGTTGCCTTTGTGGACAGCTCAAGCCCATTAATCTTCTTTCTTCCACTTATTGCCGTTCACCACTTGGGCTTGAAATTTGGCCCATTTATCTTTCTTTCTTATCGAAGAAAGGACTTCTACGGGAGACTTGAGACTAGTTGATTCTTGATTTCTTTCTACATCTTGATAATATCTCTGTTCCTACTCTATTTAGACGTTCTCTCTAGACGCTTCAGCTAGTTGCTCCTACTCAATTTCTTTATTGGATATGGCGGCTCCTAATTCTAGCCACTGGTCTGACTTCTCTTTCGATAGCTTAATATCTCTCTTCGAACGTTTGAGTTTTTTGGTTCACCGCGCAAAGATCGTGTGTACAAACTGGTATATGTGCTCGAAACAGACCTTTTGAACTTGCACAAGAAAATTGGTTATCCATGGCTGTTCCAGAAGATGGTTGTGTTTTACAATCCAGACAAATATAGGGTTTGCAAGGCAAAGAGAGGCCTTTCAGGGGGACTCTATTCTTATCAAACTCATGTAACTTGTTCCTCACGCTAGACTATGTATCCAATATCTACATCATGGACGTGTTTAGCGAGAAGTTAATCAGGCTTCCTCCTCTAGACTCAATCCAAGGTGGTGTTTTTGCTCTTAAGCGAGTAAGAGACAAGAAGTTCAAGATGAGATTAAGTAATGGTACGGCTCAGGTTGCACAACCCATAGTGTGGTTAAGTCTGACAGGTTTTGTTGGTAGAGAGCATTGGTTATGAAGTAACTTCTGGAATACCTATGATCTGCTTCCACCTCTACAATAAGGCTCCTAATCTGCTTCAATAGTTAGACTTATATATGATTTCTTTCAGCTTTCATTCAACCTTACTCAAAATCTGTCTCGGTATGGGACTATGGGTTATCTCACATGTCATCCATCTGTTATGCTCCGAAAGACCGAAACTATGAAGAATTAAAAGATAAAAGAAAAAAAAATCAAAACATACAAATTTGCGCATCCAGGGAATCGAACCCTGGTCAGTACCGTGGGAGGGTACTATGATACCACTACACCAGATGCGCTTTTTGCCTAAGCAACCCATTTAAACATATTTATTCATTTCTAACTCACATCTCAATAACAAAATACATATATTTCTACATCATCACGCATCGTCGGCAAAAGAAAAATCCCCAAATTCGTTTTCTCGTACGATTCAAAATCCCCCAAAAACACAAATCTTTTTGATCTTTTGAGATTCACAAATCGAATCGCGAGGAAAGCCAAGCCATGGAGAACAGCAGCAGCATCAATTCCACCGCATCCACCGCCTCGAATCTGAGCACGGCTTCCCTGGAAAAGCTTGATCAAGCCGCGAGCTGGGTTAGCACCACCGTGATATCCGCCTTCTTCGCCTCCCTCGAGCGTTGCTCCTGCGTTAATCTTTCTACCTCTGATGATGATGAAGAAGGCGAAGAATCTCACAACCGTCCTCTTGCTCTCTCCGCCGCTCCTCACCCAGACGACATCGTTTAGGTTTCCTTTTGACTCCTCCCTTTCTTCGGTAATCCTTTTTTTTTTTTTTTGTTGGGGGTTTCTATCAATCGGTGATATGGGTCTTGTAGGAATGTGTCTCCGATGTATGATACTATGGAAAAGATCTTAACTTTTGATTTGTATATGCCAGATTTGGTGTTTGATTTCACTTCTCCTTCATATGTTGTTTATGTGTAACCTGACTCGCGTTTGAAACAGATATGGTTTTGATTTGTGAAGTTTATTTATATATATGCTTGGCTTTTGGATTGGTTTTGTAGATTTCATTGTTTGCAAACATATCATATATATCTGCTCGTCTACTGTTAAGAACCAGAGGTAGAAAGATTCAAACTTTGTTGATGATCTGATTGTGGGAACTACTCATGTATGTCTCTTTCATTTCATAATCAGTTGTCTCTTTGTTGGTGAAGAAAGTTTGATGTATAAGACAATCTGATTTCATCTTCCTCTATCTTTGGTTCTAGGTTATCTGTTTGTAAGGATTGATATATGTTTCTTAGATTCCTTTTGGAGTATATATGAAGCTATCTCAATCCTTGCATTGGATCTAACGTCAATGTTAGATACAAAGAATGTAGATAGGTTCACATAGCATTGCTTTGTTGGTACATTGATCGGTTCACATAGGTAGAGTCTTGCTTGTTAGTCCTATGATGAGTTGCAATGAGGTTTTACACTCATCGTTCCAATTGCTAAAGCAATTTGAAGTTGCTATGTTGAAAGCACAATTAATGACTCTGAGGACCACGTTAGGTTTTCTTCTTGTGTTTTCCCTCTCTAGCTCTCTCTCTCTCTTTAGGTGACAAGTTTTAGTGAAGTTGCATTTTTTGCAATTTGATGACCATCTATATGTTTTGGGAAAACTAAAAGTTTCTGAAAGTGGTTTGTGTTTTTGTATGACTTTGTTTCATTAGTTACCAATGAGCTTTCTCAATCTATCTTCTTGAGCTTTGAGGTTATTAATCAAGAAAACCTGATAAAATAGGGCTTGATAAGTTATTCTCTTTAATGAGTAATCAACCAAGTACAAGTATTTGAGTGTGCTCTTCTTCTCTTTCCTAACCTCATTTGGGTTCATAACATTGCAATGTTGAGTTACTTTTCTCGTATTATATGGAAAGTATAATAATGTTTTGTTACGGTTCAAATCAAAAGCAAGAAGCCAAGAAGAATAATTGTACCATGCTTAATCTTCTCACCCCACACTAATTGATTTTCTTTCCCAACCACTACGAAACTCACTATCTTGTATTCACAACAACGGTTTTGTCAACCTCTCAAAGTAGGCTTCGTCAAACCTTTCAAAGTAGGATTCTTCACTGTCATCACCTTTACATATTAGCTTAAACAAAGGCCGCACAATTTATATCATAAATCAGGTTCAGAGTTACAAGAGTCACCATCTTATCTGTCACTCAGCCTTAATACAATCAAGAATTACAATGAAGCAGCAAGCTATTCAATGAAGATTAAATGTGAGAGGAAATGAATATTCAGGTGACTTGGATCCCTCCTCTCTGTATACACTTGAAATTATCAGGTTATCCTCGCTTGCGTCCAGTCTCAAGGCATTGTGAGTGAACTGTCCATTGAACAAAGCTACTATCCATCTTCATTCCACCTTTGGAAATGAACAGAACGGTCTGAGGAAGAAGAAAAGCTTGGAATTTCGTATTGATTTACATGTTCTGCATTTCTAGCTTCCAGATCGAAATCGCTATACAACATTCAGGGATCCAGATTTTCACTTGCAAGTCTATCACAGCTTTCCAACAATCTTCTCTTTGCGGACTTACTTCTATAACACCAAACCTCAAAAGCTTCACTCAAATCAGGAAACTTCACACCTTCTAACCCAATCCCTCTCATCCATTCCCCAAAAACCTCTGCTTGGTCATTTGAAGGCAGTGTTAAAACCAAAGACACCATCGATCCTTCTATTAATTCGCAAAGATCTTCATCCATTCTGTATTCAGACTCAGATCCCTCTGCATCAACCAAAGTCTTTAGTCTCCTTATGAAAGGCAACCATATCTTTAGAAGACTAGTTCGGCTTTTAGAAGGAACAATCACGATTCCATAACCGACCGCTTCTAAAACCTTCCCTGTAACCTCAACTAGCTTCAATTTCACACCCAATATCTGAGAATCTAACTTACAGTTCTCAGCAATCATAAGCATCTCCCTCGATACATCAGCCCACTTAAAGACAAGATCTTTCATCAACTCCATCCTCGGCAACACTTTGCATAGCCACTCGATATCATAGAGTGTCTTAAGCACACCAAGCTCAGGACATTCAGGAACAAAGCTAAGTAAAGATGATAATCTATCCAACAACGTCGATATAACATTCGAGATGCCTAATCTCACTACCGATTTCACTTCCTCTTTAGAAATCAGTAACCGTACCTCTTCGTCTGTAGATAGCATAAACTCCACTTGTTCTTGAGCTGAGGTTTTGAGCTCATGAACAATCTCAGGAGAGTTCTTCAATGTATCAATGGACATAGCAAAACGTAGAGCTGACGAGAAGACATTCTTCGTACTGAGAGATACATCATCAGTGGCAGCTTCCTGCATTTCTCGATGTTTTCGATGTTTAACTGCGAATTCGAATCAAGAAACAGACATAAGTAGAATCAAAAATCTGAAACCGAGTTCAAAGGCCTAAACTTTTTCTATAATCAGCAGCTCTAATTACTGAAACAACAAACCAATAAGAACACACTTACCAAATTCACAAAAATTTCCTTAATTTCAACAATTGCATCCGTCCATTACTGATTAAACAGAGGTTCTTAACTTGCTCTACGCATCAAATACTAAGAACATTAAACCCCCAAAATCTGAAAGCAAAGGAAGAACCCTAAATAGCCTACTGATTAGCTCTGTCTTGGTCAAATCTAATCACATTTTACAGAGTAACTAAATTAACCAATATAACAGAGAAGAGAGATTTAAGGTAATAAAATCAAAGAACTCACCTCTATTCCCAAAGGAAAAAAACCCTTCCTTTTAAGTTAAACAACAATGGAAGATTATAAAGAACAAAGCTTTGAATCAAACGAAGAAGAAAAGATTGAAACTTTATGAAAAGCTATAAGCTCTGGTTTAACTGAACCGATTCGAAATTTGATTCGATACCAAAACGACGCCGTGTGAAAAGGGTATCTCGGTAATTTAAAGTCAAGGCCATCGTCATTGTCATTGAATAGATCAAACCCATTTGCTTAAAGAACACAATTTTCTAGATTCTAGAGAGATAAGAGAGAAGGTAAGTGAGAAGACGAAGAAGAAGATCCAAAAGCGTGGGAAAATCAAATTAGGGTTTTGTGAGAATGGCTGATTCAGTCGACAAATTAAGTTACTTTCAAGCGGTGACAGGTCTTGACGATGCTGATTTGTGTACTGAGATCCTTCAAGCTCATGGTTGGGATTTAGAACTTGCTATCTCTACTTTCACATCTACTTCTGATCATCGTGGTGCCGCTTCGTCTTCCGATGGTGGTAACAATCACGATCACGGTGGCGCTGTGTTTGCTGACGACTCTATGACTCCTGATTATACCGAATCTCGAGGGATCGTTGACGATACAGAGCTTGTTATGCGTGATGGTGATGGAGGAGGAGGGAACAGAGGTCCAGGAGTGGCGTGGAGGATTATTACTTTGCCTATTTCGATTGTTTCTGGTAGCTTAGGGTTAGTTTCTGGAGCGATTGGGTTAGGGATTTGGGCTGCTGGTGGTGTTTTATCGTATTCGTTTGGTATGTTAGGGTTTAGATCAGGGAGAGGTGGTGGTGCGTCTGATTCGTCTTCAGCTAGGCTTGTTTCGGTTTCTTCTGCTGCTCGTGAAGCGATGGAGTTTGTTGCTTTGTTTGATAGAGATTTTGGGAGTCACAATGCGTTTAAGATCGATTTTGTATCGGAAGGGTTTATGGATGCGCTTCAGCGTTCTAGGAGCTCTTTTAAGCTCTTGTTTGTTTACTTGCATTCTCCGGATCATCCTGATACACCTGGGTTTTGTGATGGGACGCTTTGTAGTGAAGCTGTTGTAGCTTTTGTTAATGAGAATTTTGTTTCGTGGGGAGGTAGTATTCGATCTAGTGAAGGATTTAAGATGAGTAATAGCTTGAAGGCTTCGAGGTTCCCGTTCTGCGCTGTTGTTATGCCTGCTGCTAACCAGAGAATTGCTCTTCTTCAACAGGTAAAACAACAGTCATATATTATATGTTCATTCTTGGATTGCTCTTCATTGATTAAAAAGAATGTGATCGAAGAGGCAATTCATCAACTTTAAGTAGACTTGGTTATGAAGTCGGTGACTAAATTATTAGTCCTATTAGGGAATTGCATTGGAAATTGGAACTCAATCCATTCGACTACCTTGTTCTTGAAGTGATTAGTAGTAAAGGGGGAAAACAAAGTTGTTTGGTTCTGCTCTCATCTGTGAACCATCATGTCTTATATTTGGTGTAAATTTCTCTCCAGCTTTTAGGAGTGTAGTAGTAAAGATAGTTGTTTGATTCTGTTTTCATCTATGAGCCGTCATGTCTTATATTAGGTGTGAATGTCTATGAGTTTAGTAATGTATTGTGTAGTAGGAGACATAGTTCTAAAGTTTATCGTCTTCGTTGTTCTGTTTGCTTGTGACAGGTTGAGGGACCACAATCACCAGAAGAAATGCTTGCTATACTCCAGAGAGTTGTAGAAGATAGTTCACCTACTCTTGTAACTGCTAGGGTTGAGGCAGAAGAAAGAAGAACCAATCTGCGTCTGAGAGAGGAACAAGATGCTGCTTACCAGGCCGCTCTTGAAGCCGATCAAGTATGTTTCCTTTTTTTTTTTGTAGTCGCCTGGAGATCTTATGATTTAGTCTGTTGTTCTAACTTTGTGGCATGTTTCTTTCTGATGATAAGGCAAGGGAGCGACAGAGACAGGAAGAGGAAGAGCGTTTAGAGAGGGAAGCTGCTGAGGCAGAAAGAAAACTCAAAGAAGAAGAAGAGGCTCGGGAAAGAGCAGAACGCGAAGCTGCAGAGAGAGAAGCTGCGAGAGTGAGAATGAGACAAGAGAAAGCACTTGCTCTTAAGGATGAACCTGAGAAAGGCCCTGATGTTACACAAGTAAGTTCTCCTTCTTCCTTGGCCATTTATTACTTGTTCTTTTCTCGCACAGTTTTGTAGTCTAGGCAAAGAACATCAATTATCTTTATTGACATTCATTTTTAAGAGATATGGAACTTGGTGCCTCTTTAAAGCTTAGGTTCTTTCTGTGGATGATTCTCTTTAAAGCTTAGGTTTTGTATCCATGATCCGTATATCTACCCTGAGACCTGAAATGTAGGTTTAAGTACGGTTCCCATATCTTAGGGCCTCTTTATAGATTAGGTTCTATGGTTGATTCTATGGTTTGACTTGTGGCTATGAGAAGATTTGTAAACGGTCTGATTTATTCGATTCCTGAACCGTTCTGTTTGTCCTGAAATGTAGGTTTTGGTACGGTTCCCGAACGGAGAAAGGAAAGGAAGGAGGTTCGAAAGCGAAACCAAGATCCAAACATTGTACGATTATGTTGATTCACTTGGAGTCTTAGACACAGAAGAATACAGCTTAATCACTAACTTCCCAAGGACAGTGTATGGAAGAGACAAAGAGTCAATGTCACTGAAAGAAGCAGGTCTGCATCCTCAGGCAAGTCTGTTCATCGAGATCAACTAAAAATTGCTGATTCTTCTGTTTCATTCTCCTTTTAGTCCCCTCTCGTTAATTTTTCAGGCTCTTCCCTTTTGTTATCTACTGAGATATTTAGTTTGTTGCTTCAATGATACATTACATTGGACCTGAGGTATTATTACTTATAATATATACACACATATATTTAGAATTTGCTTCATATATTGAGATATTTGATTTCTCATGAACTAATAATAATTTATGAAGTTATAGTTGTGAGAGAATTACAAAATTTCAAACAACTTTCAATTCATACATATTCATACATAATTGAAACTATCTAATAACATGTGATTGATCCCTGATTCTTCACATGGTAGCTAATGTCACACTCAAGCAAATTGAATTATCTATTAGGTGATTCCATATCCTATATTCTAGGATCTCGAAGACAAAAGAAGATAGAGATATTTGCTTAACAGTAACTGTAAGAGTGGATGGTTTGAAGATCGATGAATGAGGCCGAGAATTCGCTTTTCACAGCAAACCATAAGACCAACATTATTGGTAGAATTTTAGCCATGTCTTAGGCTAAGATATGTGAAGAAAAAGATCTTAATATCGATGAATGAAGCCGAGAATTTGCTTTTCTCCGCAAACCATAAACAACTGAAGAAGACATAATTGAACATAGAGATAACAAAAGTAACAAGTCTACTATTAGATTTGGTTGGTAACCAAAAGATGTTAGTCAAGTAGTTATGGTTCTGCTTAAAACACATTTATTTCATGACCACTCCAAAGTTTTACACAAACTAAAAGTTTATTGAGACCACTCAGGTTTAAGAAGATTTGCTTTTGAGTCTCTGTCTGATTGACAATTAAACTAAAAAGCAGAGAGAAAAGGAGAAAAGGACATGAAAGGTATTCGATCTGTCTACGTGACAATATGAGAATGGGTCTTACTAAATTCCAACAAAGATTCTCTCCATTTTTAATATAATTTAGAATCTCGTGAATTGCATGTAATTTTTTTATTATTTTTGTAACTTTTAATTAAGATAAGAAATTTTCAAATCTACCTTAAAAATAATAATGTAATTCTTAAGGAAAAAAACATTGAATTAAGGTTAGCTTGGTATTTATCTTAAGGAAAAAAACATTGAAATAAGGTTAGCTTTAGTATTTGTTTCAAGTTTCAAGTTTCAACAATGAATTATACTCCCTTTATTCTTAAATGGTTATTTTCTAGATTTTTCATATATATTTTAAAAAAACATTTAAAAATTGATGATAATTATATCATTTTTTTGTGATTCACGGGTTTTAAGATCTTTAAACCAATAGTATTTAGTTATTTACCTTGAAATTTGTAAATTCTAATTAATAATGCATTAATTACTTAAACACAATTATCTTTTTGAAACACAATTTTATTCCTAAAACAATAATCGATTAGGAATGGAGGGAGTACATTAATAATATAAACCAACTAGTAGACTAGACTGATAAATAGTTTTTTTATGTGAATATATCAAACATTTTCAAAGATAAGAATGATAATTTAAATATGAAATATCGGTTTTTTCTTTTTCCTTTTTCATCATAGTATAAATATTTAATATTTTTTTATCAAATGAAAAAAAAGAAGAAGAAATATGTTAAGAGAAAAAAATCTGTCCATGGACCAATATAAATCCTAAAATCAAATAAGAAAAAATATACATTAGACAGTTGTTGGATTATTAATTATTTATTCTCAACTTGCCATTTAAAAAACAAACAAAAAAAATCTATTGAAAAAAAAAAGAAAAAAAAAATAAGAGTTTCAAATCAAGAAATTTATTTCAAATGGGCCAACTCTTCAAGACGTGAAGAAGACTAGAAAGAAGATAGCTTTGTCAGATTCACATCTCACAAAACACAAAAAATAAAAATCAAGAAGAAGAAGATCAAGAAGAAGCCACAACCATGGAAGAATCAGAACAAGTTCTTCCTCTACGTAATCACAATCTTTTCATATAATTTCAAATCATTAAATTTTCTATAACCAAAGTATATACTAACATAACATTTTTTGTAACAGTAACAAAAGCCAAAGATCTGACAAAACCATCATCATCATCATCCTCGGCCTCATCATCATCTGAACCAAGAGATGATGAAACAGAGGATCTTATTTTACCAATCTCCAGCGAAGAAGAAGAAGAAGAGAACTCACCAATCCGACAAGTAGCACTCACCGTTCCGACAACAGATGACCCTTCATTACCTGTCTTAACATTTCGCATGTGGGTCTTGGGAACTCTCTCTTGCATACTCTTGTCTTTCCTCAATCAGTTCTTTTGGTACAGAACAGAACCTCTCACTATCTCTGCTATCTCCGCCCAAATCGCTGTCGTACCTCTTGGTCGTCTCATGGCTGCTAAAATCTCCGAGAGAGTCTACTTCCAAGGTTCAAAGTGGCAGTTCACGTTGAATCCAGGTACTCCTAAAAAAGTTGACTTTTTGATTGGTTTTTTCTAAGAGACTCTAGACCGAAGCCCAAATTAATCTCCGAATTTAACATTATATCATTTAACGTGTCTATAGTGGTCTAAACTATAGACGCATCGAAAAATCGAATGATTGAAATCGCAATGAAATAATCTGACTTTACTCTTTAACCATTAGACTATCGAAAATTTCGATATTGTAACCATTCTTGATTCTTGTCATTGACTCAAGTTTTAAATATTTTGATTGATTGGTTATTACTGTTTAGGTCCGTTTAACGTGAAGGAGCATGTGTTGATTACTATATTCGCAAACGCTGGAGCTGGATCTGTTTACGCAATACACGTTGTTACAGTCGTGAAGGCGTTTTACATGAAGAACATAACGTTCTTTGTTTCTTTTATCGTTATCGTCACCACTCAAGTTCGTATTTGTTTTAAAGCTTTTTACAGTTTAGATAAAGGTTTGATGATGAGAATGGGATTTGAGATTTATGGTTTTGTGATTTGATGTTTATATATATAGGTGTTAGGGTTTGGTTGGGCCGGAATATTCAGGAAATACCTTGTTGAACCGGCGGCGATGTGGTGGCCGGCGAATCTTGTTCAAGTCTCACTCTTTAGGTAAATGAATATAATACACTAGAGTGTGTGTTTCACGTTTTAGCTCAAGTTTTCGATGATTTCTATACAAAGTACAAACAAAAGTAATAGATGTGTTTTGGCCAAATGTCACAAATAATAGATAAATTATCCCATCCCTACCTATTTTTCTAATATAATGCAAAAAAAAAAAAAAGAAAAAAAAATTGAATTTTAATAGAATTGTAAAAACTTTTGAGTATAATATAGATATATATATATATACTGTTTTTTTTTGCGTAAAATAGGTTAAAATAAAAAATAAAAAATTTCTCTTTTGAAATTATTTGGTTTATAAAATGTGATGATATGACTAAAGCAAATATTATGGGACCAAATTTTATCAGATTTCTTCGAAAATAAAAGACATGACACTATTTTTCTGATAAAGACATTTTTGTACGTGACTAATAGAAATTTATCAATAATATTTTTTAAAATAGTAGAAATTTATTGCTTTTTTGTTATTTATGTGGTTTAAGTTATACAAATGGATAATATTTTTCGTATAACTTGTTAAATATAATATTTTGGTCAATAAATAAAAAGATAACCACATTTAGAAGCAAGAGACAACTGTATAGCTAACACATTGATGTTGTCGTTGGGCTAAATTTGTCAGAGCGTTGCATGAGAAAGAAGAACGGACCAAAGGAGGGCTGACACGTACACAGTTCTTCTTGATAGCATTCATTTGCAGTTTCGCTTATTATGTCTTTCCAGGCTACTTATTTCAGATCATGACGTCCTTGTCGTGGGTTTGTTGGTTCTTTCCATCATCAGTCATGGCACAACAGATCGGGTCTGGTCTCCATGGGTTAGGTGTTGGAGCCATTGGACTCGACTGGTCAACCATTTCTTCTTACTTGGGTAGTCCACTCGCTAGTCCATGGTTAGTCCTAATACTTATCATTCTCGTTTACTTATTAGTTATTACACTAACTCATGGTTCTGTTTTTTTGTTAAAAGGTTTGCTACGGCTAATGTGGGTGTGGGATTTGTGTTGGTGATATATGTCTTGGTACCAATATGTTATTGGCTCGATGTGTTTAAGGCTAAAACCTTCCCTATATTTTCGAGCTCACTTTTTACAAACCAGGGTTCAAAGTACAACATCACATCCATTATAGACTCTAATTTCCACCTTGACCTTCCAGCCTACGAGCGTGAAGGCCCTTTGTATCTTTCTACTTTCTTTGCCATTAGTTACGGTGTTGGTTTCGCTGCTTTAAGTGCTACCATCATGCATGTTGCTCTCTTCCATGGAAGGTACAAAACTTAAATCATCATTACAATGTATAATGAAAGATTCTTGTATGCTTGCTTTTGTTAAAGTACTCTTGTAATGGATATTGTCAGGGAGATATGGGAGCAAAGTAAGGAGAGTTTTAACGAGAAGAAATTGGATGTACATGCGAGGCTAATGAAAAGGTACAAACAAGTTCCAGAGTGGTGGTTTTGGTCCATACTCGTTACCAACATTGCAGCCACAATCTTTGCTTGTGAGTATTACAATGACCAACTTCAATTACCATGGTGGGGTGTTCTATTGGCTTGTACAATTGCCATTATCTTTACACTACCTATCGGTATCATCACTGCCATCACTAACCAGGTAAACAAGATAACTAAATCAAATCCTAAAAGACTATCTTTGGTTATAATTATGTTTTGATAGGAATAAATAATTTTGTAGGCACCAGGATTGAACATTATTACAGAATATATCATAGGATATATCTATCCAGGGTATCCAGTAGCAAATATGTGCTTTAAAGTATATGGATACATAAGCATGCAACAAGCCATTACTTTTCTTCAAGACTTCAAACTTGGTCACTACATGAAGATTCCACCTAGAACCATGTTCATGGCACAGGTCCAACTACTTTAGACCACTCTCTTGACGTTACTATAATTAAGTTACACTACGCTAATAAATAATGATTTGGTTTCAGATTGTTGGAACACTCATCTCATGTTTGGTTTACCTCACAACGGCTTGGTGGCTAATGGAGACCATCCCAAACATATGTGATACGGTTACTAACTCGGTTTGGACATGTCCGTCGGATAAAGTCTTCTACGATGCATC